GCAGCTGATTTTTTGATTTATTGTAGAGATGAGGTCTCGCTGCCCAGGCGGGTCTCAAACCCGTGGGCTCAGGCAATCCACTCACCTCAGCCTCCCAAAGGCGCGGGATTACAGGCTGAGCCACCGAGCCCGGCTGACTCACTCACTTTTAAGGGTTAATTTCATGTTATGTGAATTTCACTTCAAGTATCAAAAAACAAAAAATAATGGTACCTGTAGCTGAGAGATGAGAGGAAGGAGGGTCATCAGGTACCTGGGGCTGGTGAAGGTGCTGATGAAAACAGGTAAGATTGAGGGAGGAAGGTCCCAGGCTGCAGGGGAGGGTGTCTGGAGTATGCTGCTGTTGGAGGAAGCCCATCATTGACCCCATGGTCAGAGGGAAGGGTGAGCCCGCAGGAGGAGGTGTCTGGGGAAGGCACTGGCAGCCTCTGGGCTGCTTGCTTTCCTCGGACTGGAAGCTCCTGGCGGTAGGCAGCAGGGGGCAAGGACATCATCCTTTCAGCTATGTTTGATGTTCAGAGCCACATCCCGGGTAAATGGTTCTTTTAAAAGCCCTGGCACCCATGGAATGAACTTGAGCACATCAAGCAGCAGGAAAATGGGCCACCGCCCATGTCAGGGAAGCCAGGCTGGCACCGGGCTGCGTGGGTGCCACTCCCGGGAGGCGGGGAGACGCTCCAGGGCTTCGGCACCCCCAGAGGGCAGTGCCCCTGGAGCCTGAGCTGGGGGAGGGGAGTGAGTGAGCACCACGGTTTCTTTGTCAGACCCAGGAAGGGGAGTGGGGCAGTTACCGGAAGCAGGGGCTGAGAGGCTCCCTCCGGAATCTCTGCCCCTTCTTTCCTCTCCTCCCCACTTGCACAGCCCCTGCACATGCTCAGTGTGCCCATGAATTGGGTTGGCTGGGGGAGGGCAAGATGGGCACCCCCACTTAAAGGGCCAGTACTACCTGACTGTTCCCAACAGGGGCCATGGGGCCTGGCATCTCCCCCACCCCCCCACCTTCCTGAGTGACTTCACCTCAGACCCCTTCCCACTGCCTGACAGCTTCCTCCTGGCCCACCCGCCAACCTCTGCCCACCCCACTACCTCTCGTGCCCTGACTCCACTGCAGGCAGGGTCTGTCTGCTGGGCACAGGAGTTTCCATCAGGTTGGGGAGTCCCTGGTGGAAGAAAGGGGGATCCCCGGCCCGGCTAGGCAGGGGTGGTGGGAAACTCCAGCAAACACATTTGCTCTCCAGGCCTCCCTCCCCTGGCCCAGGTGACCAGGAAGGTCCTAGAAAGCAAATGGAAGTAAGGGAAGCAAGACACTTGGCATTTGCTCAGGACAGGCTGAGGGAGGCGGTCCAAGCCAGTCTGGTCCTCTGGGCTGAGGGTGTGTTGGGGGTAGGGGTGCTGTACATTGGCGTGTCCGTCATTGTAGGAGGGTAGTGTAGACATCCAGGCCTTGGGTGCGGAAGCAACTGGCAGGAAAAGAGGGGGGCACTGGGGAACCCAGACCTGGTTCCCACCCAGCTCCAGGCCCCCCCAGGTTGTGAGCAGGCACTAAAGTCAGGGAAGCGGGTGGGGGAGGGGCCGGCAGGGACCCCCTTCACTGAACCCCTGTCACTTTTCCAACTCACACCCTCTCCTTTGTTTTCTTCTTTCCCTGCCCTGTCCCCCCAGCCATGGGAAAATTAACCCCCCTGGGCGCTGCCCCAGCCAAGAGCCCTTCAGCTGTACTTTGTGTGTGTGTGTTGGGGGTGGGGGAGCCTGGGGGAGCGGCCAGCAGCTTTCCTGTCCCCAGGCTCCTCCACTTCTGGGCCAAGAAGGGCCACACACCTCACGTGCCCCACTCCGGCAGGGCCAGCCCTGGACACCCCCAGCACCCTTGCCCACTCCCCTCCCCCACACGCCAGCAGCCTTCTGGAATCTTTTACACACACACACACACACACACACACACACACACACCTCTGGGTAAACAACCTTTGTCCTGGTTCCCCCTCAGGCTCCTCCGTGCTGAGGAATGAGGGGCTGGGAGGCTGCCCACACAGGCCGAGGGGGCTTTGGGTCCCACGCCAGCACCCCACAGGGGAAGGCAGGCCTCCAGGAGCCTTCCTGGAATCCAGAAAGCCACTTCCTCTCTGAGCCTCGGGTGCCCCTCTGATGCCCTTCTGACAGAGCCCTCGGGATCAAAGGGAGGAGGCCAAAGCCAGGGGCCCAGGGGCAGGTCCCCAGGATGGGACATAGATGGCTGGTAAACCCATGTTTTCCTACAATCTGTTCTTGCAGAAGGCACCAGCCAAGCCTGGGTGTGGCAGGGCAGAAACGAAAGTTGTCCCGGCAACACACAGGATCTCGTCAACATTTCCATTCAGCGGCTCCCAGCCTGAGCCTGGTCTTGCCCAGCACTGCCTGTCCAGAGGAGCGCCTGGAATGGAAGCCAGGTGGGTGGCGGCACAGCCAGTGCCGGCTCACTGGAGGTCCCTAGCTCCCTCCGCCATCACCAAAGTCATCCACACTGCTGCTGACACCCAGCACTGGACAGTAGGGCGCCGGGAGGGAGGAAGAGACGGGTGTCTGGGGAAGGTGGGCCTGAGTGTGAGGGGTGCATGAGCTCCTTTCTGAGCCCAGCACTGGCTGGTGGCGTCTGCATTATCCAGGCTACCCAGCTTTGTGATGCATAGACAGGTGAGGGACGCATACAGAGGGAATTAACCACACCTGGTGAGGTTGAACTGACACCAGAGGCATGCACACACCCACAGGCACCAGGAGAGCCAGGCCACCCAGCGCTGCTCTGTGTGTGACTCCCCACCTCCAGTCTCCTGGCTTCCAAAAAAAATTATAAGGGATGGGATCTTGCTCTTTTGCCCAGACTAGACTTGAACTCCTGGCCTCAAGTGACCCTCCCACCTCAACCTCCCAGAGTGCATGGATTACAGGCATGCATCACTGCACCTGGCCACTGGCTTGACTTTCCATCAGGAGAACACTTCCCTGGAGTGCTTAATGTATAACGTGTCCCTCAAGAGGTAAGGGAGCAAACGTGATGACTAACCTCAGGCCCAGGCCCTCGCTGGGAGGGGTGGAGGCAGGGGGCTGTCAAGGATGAGGAGGTGTGAGGCATCCAGACTTCACCTAGTGCAGGCTCCCAACTGTGGGGAGGACACAGGCGCCCAGGAGCAGACTCTGAAGGAATCCCGGGCTTGGGGAGTCCCCAAAAGCCCCAGTTGTCTCCAATGGGGAAAACGCCCAGCTCAAGCAATCCAGCATCCTGAGTGTCAGGGTCTGGCTGAAACGCAGCTCCCCAGCCCAAAGAGCCTTCAGTGCAAACTAACTGCCCCAGGACACACAGAGAATTCGAGTGTCCTAGACCCTGGTAGGTCCCCATCCACGGGTCTGCTGGCCTCCCAGACTTGTGCCAGGGGGCACTGGGGACCCACAACCCAGACCTCTAGGGGTCAAAACAGATTTTTTTTTTGAGTTGGAGTTGCACTGTCACTCAGACTGGAGTGTAATGGCACGCTGCTCATGGCCATTGCAGCCTCGACCTGCTGGGCTCAGGCACTCCTTCCACCTCAGCCTCCCAAGTAGCTGGAACCACAGGCGCATACCACAACACCCGGCTAATTTTTTGATTTACTGTAGAGAGGAGATCTCGCCAAGTGGCCCAGGCTGGTCTTGAACCCCTGGACTCAGGCAGTCCTCTCGCCTCAACCTCCCAAAGTGTTGGGATTACAGGCATGAGCTGCTGCGCCTGGCCAAATGTTTTGATTCTCAGAACAGCCCTTGTGAACTCAATCCCAGCCACTCCCACTTGGCCTCACCGAGACCATTTAATTTCTCTGTAAAAAGTTAGGTGACACGGAAGAACACATTGTGGGGATGATGAGGTGGAGGTCTGAACCCCCGAGCCATCCTCGGGGGCATGGGGTGCTCAGAGGACTCTTCTTCTGCAGCCTCCCTCCTGGGGAAGCAGCTGGCCCCAGTGTGCATGACATGGGACCCTCTCCTTGGGCCCATGCCGCTGGGGCACCCTCAGGTGCCGGCATCGCTGGCCCGCCGGTTCCGCACCTCTTTCTCCTGCCGGAGCCGCTGGTTCTCGGCCCGCAGCCTCTCTACCTCGGCGGCCAGCTCTTCCACCCGGCGCCAGGGCGGCCGGCTGGTGGCCGCCTGCAGCTGCTGCTGCCGCCGCCGCCGGGTCTCCTCCTCGGCCTGCGACAGCCGCCTCTCCAGCTCCAGATAGTCCCGCACCAGCTCCTGCTTGCTGCGGCCCTGCAGGCGCTCCAGGTGGTAGCGCTCGTAGGCCTCAGAGAAGTCCCGCTGCTGGAACTCCCCCGGGGCCGAGGCCTGCCCTTCGCTGTCCCCTGCCTCGCTCTCCCCGCTGGAGCCCGGGTGGGACGGCCCGGGGGGCACCTCCAGGTTGGGCTCCTCGGGGTCACGGTCATTCATCAGGAACTGGGTGGTGTTGCAGGGTGCCACCGCCTGGCCTTGGGCGAACATCTGCTCGCGGGCCCTGGAGGCCCTCTGGCCCTGCCTCTCGTCCCGCTGCTGCTTCTCTGCCCAGCTCAGCTCCAGGTAGGGCCGCCAGGGCCGCCTGCGCTTCCACGGCCGCCGACGGTGCTTCTTCCTGCCCAACCCGGCCTCGGCTGAGCACCCCCCTGGGCTCTGGGTCCTACTGTTTCCGCCCAGGCCGCTGCCAGCCTCAGCACCATCCTCATACTCCGAGGGGCTCTCCATCCCGGGGGTCAGAGGCAGGGAGCTACCGGAGTCATGAGGTTCAGGGGGTGTTTTGGGGTTCCCCAGAGCACCAGTGGTCTAAAGAGAGAGGAGGAGGAAGGATGGGTGACAGACAGCCTGTCCCTGGGGCGGAATCTTTTCTTGTGCATTCCCAACTGGCTCCCTCTCCAGCCCCTGACTCTTTTGTGACCATCTGTTTACAAACAAACCTGTCTACTGTCTGTCCCCCAGCCCTCCCCAAGTAGACTCCCAGGGAAAGGAATGGTGCCTGTGTGTCCCACCCTGTAACTTCAATGCCCAGGACACCTGGCATGAGGCAGGCCTTTCACCACTCCTGTCCCAGCGCACACAGAGGAAGGAACCGGTTGGAGGATGCTTTGTGAAAAGCCCCAGTGGCACCTGCCCTTCCCTCTTCCCAGAAAGCTTATCTTTCGGACAGAGCTGACTTCACGGGTCAGCTGTGCAGTGGCACAGAGGCCCACATTCAGAAAAGCCCCACACAGCTGAGCACGGCGGCTCACGCCTGTAATTCCAGCACTTTGGGAGGCCAAAGCGAGAGGATTGCCTAAGCCCAGGGGTTCGAGACCAGCCTGGGCAACATGGCAAGACTGCGTCTCTACAATAAATCAAAAAATCAGCCGGGCGTGGTAGTGCATGCCTGTAGTTCCAGCTACTTGGAAGGCTGAGGCGAAGGATCTCCGGAGCCCAGCAGGTCGAGCTTGTGGTACCCTAAGTGTGCCACTGCATTTCAGTCTGAGTGACAGAGTGAGACTCCACTCAAAAAAAAAAAAAAGAAAGAAAGAAAGCCCCCTTGTGTGGCTTAATGCTATCCCCATCTTGAACTTTTTAACAGTTTTTGCGCAAGGGCCCTTTTGCATAGGATCCCCTGAATTATGTAGCTGATCCTGCTTCCAGCTATTGGCATGTCTGATTCCTTTCACTCTTTAGGGTTCAGTTCCAAAGTCACCTCTTCAGGCTCTTCAGGGAGGTCTTCCCTGACCACCCTATCTAAAGTACCTTCCCCATCTTCCCTCCCAGTGACACTCTATCATGTCACACCATTAACACATAATAGCACGTGACCATTTACCATCTGTCTTCCTCCCATGAGAATGTGTCTTGTCTGTTCAACTTACCACTGTATCCCTATGCACAGCACAGACTGGTGCTCTATAAATATTTGTCTGAGTTGGGGTCTCACTCTGTCACCCAGGCTGGAGTGCAGTGGCACAATTATGGCTCACCACAGCCTCAAGTGTCTGGGCTCAGGTGATCCTTCTGCTTCAGCCTCCTGAGTAGCTGGGACTACAGGCATGAACCAACACACCCAGCTAGTTTTTTGTAGAGATGAGGTCTCGTTATGTTACGCTGGCTGCTGACTTCTGGGCTCAAGCAATCCTCCCGCCTCGGCCTCCCAAAGTACAGGGATTATAGATGTGAGCTACTGTTCCCAGCTCAATAAATATTTGTTAAATGACCTAATGCTTTTAAGATAGACAGAGGGATACAAAAGATATCAGAAAATGAGACTCTCTTTCTTTTCTTTTTTTTTTTATCAGAGTCTCACTCTGTTGCCCAGGCTGGAGTGCAATGGCAGGCTCACAGCCACTGCAGCCTCGACCTGCTGGACTCAGGCGATCCTTCCGCCTCAGCTTTTCAAGTAGCTGGAACTACAGGCATATGCTACCATGCCTGGCTAATTTTTCTTGATTTATTGTAGAGATGAGGTCTCGCCAAGTTGCCCAGGCTGGTCTCAAATCCATGGGCTCAGGCAATCCTCTCACCTTGGCCTCCCAAAGTGCTGGGATTATAGGCGTGAGCCACTGCACCCAGCCTGAGACTCCCCTTTCTATCCTTCTGGGGTAAAGAAGAGAGAGTGTATTTATTCTGGGCAGAAGTTGGTATCACTCTTCTATATGAATAGCAGGAAAGCGGGCCTAACCAAGGAGTGGGAGGGGCAGTCTCAGTTCGCAGTGAGAGAGTCCAGAGCCTGTCTGAGAGGTGGAGGGATCTGCCCAGGGAGTGTGTGTATGTTCAGGGCATCTGTTTATCTCTGCTGTGGTGAGGGTGGGAGTACCAAGTGTGGGGGATAGGGGATGAATTGCTCTAAGTTTGTGGTTTGGGGGATTTCTAATAATAACCGCTGCCATTGGTATGTTGTCTCATAATGTGCACACATACGGGTCCATACCACAGTGTGTGTTGGGAGGTGCATGCAGTCCTGTAAGGGCCAGGGATTTGTTATGAGCGTTCTGGAGATCGTGAAGAGAATTTCAGGGAAAAGGAGCTAGTGTGAGGCCAGGCACGGTGGCTCATGCCTGTAACCCCAGCACTTTGGGAGACCAAAGTGAGAGGATTGCCTGAGCCCACAGGTTCATGATCTGGGTAACTTGACGATATCTCATCTCTACAACAAATAAAAAATTAGCTGGGTGTGGTGGTGCACGCCTGTATTTCCAGCTACATAGAAGGCTGAGGCAGAAGGATCGCCTGAGCCCAGCAGGTGGAGGCTGCGGTGGCCAGGAGCGTGCCACTGCACTCCAGCCTGGGCAACACAGTGAGACTCCGACTCAAAAAATAAAAAATAAAAAAGAGCTTGTGTGTGTGCACGCGCGTGTGTGTGTGGTGTTACTTCAGCTGCAGGGAGGGCACCAACCACAGGCCATAGGTTTTGTCTCTGCCAGCGGTCAAATGAGACAGAGCTCTGTCCACCCAGGAGAGGTAGGGCCACCAGGAACTCCTAGGCAGGGTGGACCGGCCCGTGTATACACAATCATCCCCGTGCTCCGGGCCCACAGTAAATGACCCTCGGTGGTCCCCACCCCCACCCAAGTAAGCCCTGCCCACAGCCCCACCTGCTGCCTCACTCCTAGAGACATGCCCCTCTGCCTCCACCGCTATTGCAGATAAGCCATGTGACCTGGCGGAACCTTCTAGCCCTGACATGCCATGAATGCCAAATTCAATCCAGGAAACACAGGAGTGGCTAGGCAGGGTGGGTCAGAAGCTCCCCTGCCCCCGGCCCTACGCTTCCTCTTGTCTACAGGGAACTGTGGAGTCAGGAAGGATAATGGGTGGGGTAGGGCAGGGAGGGGGCATGGTCTGGGAGGGACAGGCCTTGTTGCAGGTCACAGGTGGCGTTCTCTGAGGGCCCAGTACAATCTGCCTCTCTCCTCTCTCCAAGGTTATACCCTGGTCCCCACCTCCATTTCAAACTATGAACCAAAAACTCCTCTTCCTACTTTGGCCTTGGTTCTTCGCCTGGACAAAATGCAAACATTCAACTAAGTTCTTTGGCCTTGAGGTCAAGGCAAAGTTCTGTTGTCAGAAGGCCCTAAGTTTGAGTCCTGTGTCTGTGGCTTGCAGGCTGCATGATTCTGGATACGGTGTTTCAGCTTTCCTAACCTTAGTTTCTGTGAATTGGAGATACTTCCTACTTGGAAAGGTTAGTAGGATTTCATGAGGTAGCACAGATTTGGCATCTGGCCTACAGCTTGGCATGTAGTAGGAACTCAGTAAAATAAAGTAAAATAAACTTTTCTGGCAGGGTGTGGTGGCTCAAACCTGCAATCCCAGCACTTTGAGAGGCAGAGGTGAGTGGATTGCCTGAGTGGTTGGAGCCACTAAGGGGATTGCCTGAGTGGTTGGAGCCCAGGGGTTGGAGACCAGCCTGGGCTACTTGGTGAGAGTTCATCTCTACAATAAATAAAAAAATTAGTCAGGCATGGTGGCATGTGCCTGTGGCTCCAGCTACTTGGAAGGCTGAGGCAGAAGGATGGTCTGAGCCTAGCAGGTCGAGGCTGCAGTGAGCTGTGATCATGCCACTGTACAACAGCCCAGGTGACAGAGTCAGACTCCAACTCAAATAAATACACAAATTAAATTAAACTAAAATAAAAACATTAGCCGGGCACAGTAGCACGTGACTGTAGTCCCACCTACTCAGGAGCCTGAAGTGGAAGGATTGCCTGAGCCCAGGGGGTCAAGGGAGCCGTGAAGTATGTGCATGCCACTGCACTCCAGCCTGAGTGTCAGAATGAGACTCTGACTCAAAAAGTAAAATAAAACATTGGTTTTCCAAATCTGTCAACACGTCTGAGACAAGCAGCTGGGGTATCAGGTACAGGGTCCATATTTGGGATCCTCAAGTGGCTGGGATGGTGAGAGCTTACCTTGGCCTCCTCAGGGGATGCAGGTGACCCTGTATTACAGTTGGTCTGATTTGGGGTGGCCATCTTCTTCTGTCCCAAATCGTTCAGCAGATGCCTTGAACTGGCAACACCTGCTTTGAACAACAACAGAAACCCTCAGTCCTAAAGGAGAATTCTCAGGGAGACTCTGGCTACCAGGAATTGTTTGCCTGGGGCAACAGCAGCCATTTTGTGGCATCAGACCTGCACACCCTCATTCTCAAATGGAGGCCCTGAAAGCTGCCTCCACACGCTGGTTTTCACACCCTCAACCCGCAAGGGGCCAAATGGGACTACAGGGACATCGTCTCAGTCCTGTTCCTCCGGTCCCAGCTAGGGCTTATGTCTTGTACTGCCCTCCTGGAAGTCACTGAGGCCCAGGTTGGCAGCTTGGAAGCTGGGCTTAAGCTTTGTTCCCCCAACCACCAGAGGAGAGGCGCCTCCCTGAGGGGGCTGAGAGTGGAGCGGGTCTGTGGCTGGGCCGAGACGACACTAGCAAGCTTAGGCATCCTCTCCCGCTGCCTCCGGAGGGCTCCATCTTGATTTCAGCCCTGCACACCCAACCTCCTCCCGGGCTGGACTCCAGGAGGCAATGCCCCTAGAAACACGGCTGGGGCTGGGCCAAGCCTGGGGCAGAGGCCTTTGCCTCTGCAGGGCCTGGCCTGCCTGCTTCTCCTCTATTCCCGGGAAACAGGAAAGGGGAAGGAGAGGCATTGGCACTGCATGCAGGTAGGAGGGAAAGCCAACTAGGATACGGATGCATTTCTTGGAAGCGGGGAAACCGTCTGGGAAAGAGGCTTTGCAAGGTGGAACTAACCTACTCGCCGTCAAGGGCTATGCACACGACTACGTCTGTGTGTCTTTCTGCGCTACCGCCTGTCAGTGCAATTCCCAACGCCTCAGCCCTACCTCCCGCTGCACTTGTAGCAGCTCTGGTCAAGCCGCTCAAGGCGCTAAGCGGAGGAGGGGACAGCCTGGCGGCGCGGGGCCTGCTGGGAATTGTAGTTCCTCTATCCCGGGAAAGCGGTCCAAGATCCTGTCACATCTGCAGCCACAACCCGAAAACTCCGAATCCCATCTACCCTTGCGCGGGCGGCCTCGGCACGCTGCCTTCTCTGATTGGTCCACTCGTCTGCCAATATTCTCACTTTCGTCAACGATTAGCTGTGCGGTAGCACACTGGTCGCCTTCTCCGAGCCCAATTAAAGAGTTCATTGATGGCGTTTGTCTTTACCGGGCAGAAAATAGCTCCGGCCGAGAGGGGCGGGGCCTGGGCGCGGAGGGATCCGCGGCCTTTGAGGAAGGCGACGGCACGATCGGTGGATGTCGCCGCCATTTTGGGCTGGGAGGAGGCGGCGGAGGGACTCGCTGCGCAGTGAGAGCACCCCATGGGGGGTGATTCGTACGCGGGGAGAGGCCGGGCCATGGGCTGTCCGAAGTGGCTGCGCCGGGAGACGGCGGGGAGCGGGACCGCGGGCCGGGTAGGGTGAAGGTTGGCGTCTCCCCGGCCGAACCCGGTCCTCAAGCCGTCCCGACAGCCCCGCCGCCCCCCCACCTCGCGGGGGCGGGTTCTCCGCGATGACCGCGTGCTCTCGGCCCCCGACCGGAGACAGGCCGGCGAGATTCTGACTGCTGCCTACCTATTTGTTATCTTATTATAACTATCTATGCCTATTCCTATCCAATGACAATATTATTTTGAGGGGCATGATATTACATTTTTAGTCTTTTATTTACCCAGCTGGAAAACCTGAAAAATTTGTTTTATTAATTCATATTTATAATTTAATTAATTATATACATTTGACATTTATATTTATTTCTATTCCTATACTATATTTTTTATTTTTTTAAATTTTATTTCAAAGATGTGGAGGACAATTCATAATTAGGTACACAAATGGTCATTGTACAGGTGAAGTTTGAGCCTCCCATTGGTCTCCACTTCACCTAGTTTAGGATCAGGTATCTTTTACTTTATGTTTTTGTGCTTCCCCCCCCACACCCCTGACAGTGTCTGCTACTGCAAGTTCC